TTATCTTAAAAGATATTTATCATGACATATTATCATCCATATTAGTTTTATACTGTATAAATAAAAGGGGTTCTTATAATATAAAAGTGTTACTAATGTAATAATAATTTAACATTTATATTATGTCACATTATTACCAAGAATATTTAATTAATTTATAATAGTGATATTGTGATAAATAAGTGGCATATGGGCCTATAATTCAAGCTCCAATAAATTGACCATTATTAATAAATCAAAATTATTGATTTTAATGTTATTTTAATATAAATATAAAATTACACTCTTAAATTTATAGAATAATTGATTCAATTTAAAAATTGAATCATCAATAGATTTAATCATTGCATATAAAATAAACTTACATAAAAAAATTATAATGAGAGCTAAATAATTATGTCACATCATTAATTATATATTTAGCTATGTATTCTAATTTTAATTCTTCAAGTGAACTAATTTTTGAACTTTCAAATTTGAAAGGAATGAATTTATTATATGTATATTAACATTCTCAGTCATTTGCTTCATTGCGTTTCTAAGATACAATAATTAAGTCTATATCTTTTAAATTATTTTCGTGTAAGTCAAGAAATCAAATGCCACAAATAGGAGTTTATTAATTAATAACTTAGGATTAAGCTTATTTTATATATGATCATCTTTATGATAAATTTTAAAATATATATCTAGTTAAAACTGAATTTATTATATTATTCAAAATTTATAGTCCAATTCTATATAATCATATTATATAAAGTACATTCATTCTTAAAATCTTCATATCGAATAATCCAGATATGACTATTTCGTTCTTAATCTTCATGGATCGTAATAATAATGCTTAATTATAGATTCATACTATAATTAATAATTATGAGCTTGTTTAAATTATTATTCATAATTCAATCATCTCATATATAATTATGGTTACATAAATAATCATGGAATAAATATAATAACAAATTATCATATCCATACATGTTAAATTTATCTTTAAATATTTATTTTAGCAGAAAATATATTAAATAATATTGATTTAGGGTACACTTACTAACACAAGATAAGAGGCTTTGTTTGAGATGTTTGAAGTCTTTATAAAGATGGTTGTAAAATTGTTGTGGAAAAAACAATTATTTTAAAAGTTGGTATATAAAATGAAGCATCATAACATAAAAAAATATTAAAAGTGGTCCCAAACAAAGCCTTAATGTTATCTTAATCAAAGTTTTAATCAGATTAATCTAATATTTTTTTTCCAAAAAAGATAAATGATCTAACATAATCCATTGTTTATGTTCATTGCCACTTATAGTGTCATTAGCAAAATAATTAAATATCAAACAACACAACCTATAAGCACTAGATTATATATTAATTATATTAAATATAATTTAATTTTCTGAAATATTTGGTAATCTAAAATCATATTTTTTGTTGTTTCTTAAACTTTAAAAATCATTAAAAAATAGTAGTTGTTCTTGTAAATTGTTTTGTAGCTAGTCCGGCATATAATAATTTGGATAAAATTTTAAATTAACCAAGTTGAACAGAGTATTGCCGCATTCAAGATTTTATTTTTTTTTTTATATCAAGTTTTATGCCAAATTTGAATATGATTTGAATTTCAAAAATTTATTCATTCTTAGTTATTAATTTTCATATTAAATTTGAGTTATTATCTAGCTTAATTAATTATATAGTTAATTTTAATGATTTAAGCATATAACATAATTATTAGAGATAATTAAATGTCGGTCTTCCGATAACCCGGTTAGAAAAATATATGCATTAGATTTAACTTATGTTAAAAAAGGTAGATGTAGACCTAAAAAGATTTCGTTAGAAAATATTAGAAATGACATTTCTTTATTAAATTTAAGAGAAATTTACATACATACCACTTTATACCATCATATTTACATATCTAACACATAAAGCTTTAATATTACATATATACCAACCTATATTATTTTAATATCAAATATACCACTCATATTTCCTTAGTGCCACTCATATATTTCATTTTTACCACTCATATTTGATATGCAAATAAACTATGAGTGGTATCTGGTATGTATGTAATATTAAAGTTTTAGGTGTTAAATATGTAAATAGAATAATATAAGATGGTATGTATGTAAATCTACCTAAATTTAAATGTGAATTTAACTCTTAGCAAGACAATATAGAAAAATGATTAATGTAGTCGACCCCATATAGTGTTATGGCAACTTGATGTTGTTGTTGTTGCAAAAAAAAAAAAAAAAAAAAGAAAAAAAAAAAAAAAAAAAAAAAATTGCATTACACTTAAAAGATATTAAAAAATTTCAAATAATTTAAATATATCTTAATATTTTTTTTCATCACAATTTTGCCCTAAAACCGGGATTTAGTAAATTTGATCGTTTGGTGGATTTACGTAATTTAGCCCAAATTGCTACCTTCATGGTGAGCTCCTATCATGACTTTCAAAACTCTTACTTAATCTATCCGATAAGAAATATATTATCGAAAGGACAAAGTCGCTTCAACTCTTTCTAAACTCTACTTACTTCCAAGCACTTTTAGGCGAAACATAATGGTAATTATTAAAAATTTAAGGATCGTTAATATCTGATTAAGGAAAAAAAATTAAGGAAAAATTTAAAAATATCTGATTACCTATTAATTATTATGCTGTAATTGAACAATTTGAAATTTAAACCGGATCGAATTCAAAATTTCAAATTGAATTAAGTTTACTCAAAAAACTTGGAAACTTTTTCTTGTTATGGTCACCAGTAATAAATACGTATTGTCCGTTGGCTTCGAAGCGAGCGGGCATTTTGGCCCCTTTCCAACGTCTCGGCATGTTTTGCTCCTAACGCAAATATTGCCTCTCTCTCTCTCTCTCTCTCTCTCTCTCTCTCTCTTTATCACTCTCTTTCACTCAACTCTCTCTCTCTCTCTCTCTCTTGCCCGCTTTCTTCAGTGCGATCCGTTGCCTCTGTAGATCTCTCGGGTGCGGTCTATGCGCTTCTGTCAAGTGGAGCTAGAGTGGGAATCGGCGAAAGAGAAGTAGAGGTAGGAGGGAAAAAGCTAAGAGGAGAAAAGGAAGAAATCAGCTATTCTCCTCTATCAATCGGTCAATCTCATTGAGAAATTGAAACGAAATCTATCGTTCTCTATCACGGAGTTTGCATATCGTCAGCTACAGACTATCCGGTCAGGCTTCATCCTTCGTATTTTTCTACGTTCTGTTTTCTCTGTTTATGGAATGGAATGGGCCGATGGATGGCTAAGGATTTGGCCATTATCGATTCCTGTTTTTCTTATCACGCTTATTGAAATGAGGATTTGGTCGGCTTTGCTTATTATTTTTTACTTTCGTCTGTCCGTTGGAGTTTTGGTCGGTCTTGATGGAGGAGGTTTTGATTGTGAACTTTGCGGAAGGTTTCTCGAACATTTGCTATTTGAATACTTGAAGCCGTGGTAGTCTGCCGAGGATTGGTTTATTTTGCTTTGAACTTTTCTTTATTTTATTTGTTTGTTCGGCTGGAATGGTTGAATTAGGTATAATATTATGTTCTGTCAACAAATTCAAAGCTGGATGCTTGCCGCAGTTTCTTTAATGCTGAAACGATCAATCGTAAATAAATCAGATGATATATTTTTTGCTCTAGAGGATAATAAGATGTTTCTATGACACTCAATTTTTAACCAATCACTATGAAGCTTTTGTATGTATATCTATTGTGGAGTTTCTGTGACTTCGAGCAGCTATAAATCAATGCTCGCATGTAGCTTATTGAAAAAAATACGTTTATCTGGATTTTTATCATTCTAGTGCACTTACATATTTACTCAAAGTTTGTTAGTCTGTCCTTGAATTTCTCGGTTAGCTCGCATAAGTTTTCCTTCTTTTTGGGAGAGCTTATTAAGTGCAGTCAGCGAACTATTTGGAGGCCAATTAGCACGCGCCACGACACCCGATGCACACAGTGCTTCACAGTAACGATAGCATATTAATGAGGTGGCACATCCTAATTAGCCCCCGAACTGCGTCCTATGACCGTACGTAATAATTTCGCCTTTTTGGAGTGATATCGTCCTGCGGTTTTATAATATATATATATATATATATGCATGAATGTGTATACAACATATCCATACATATTGGCACATAAACGCGTAAAACAAACAATCATTAATGTTGTAACTTTTAACCTTCACATGAGTTATGTAGTTACCAATATATTCAATAGAGTGATCTGTATTCTGAATGACCAGGTCATTTCATTTACCGTTTCGTTCTCTTCCATCAGGATACATTTCATTTGTCATTGTAAGTGTTAGATATTATTCCAGATTTTTAGGTTTGCTTTTTGTATAGGTTTTTTGTATGGCATGTGTGGCCATTTGTGGAGCTATTTGTATAGCTTTTAGATGCCTATTAATAGGCTTTAGTTTGTTTTAGGCATTGAGGCCAAGAGAGAAATAAAGTTTACAGAATTTCTGAGTTTGGCTCTCCCCTCTCCCTCTCTATCTCTTGTAAGAAGATCTCTCAAGATCTTCCTCATTGGTTTCAACAAAATGGTATCAGAGCCCTGGCAGCGATCTTGAAGGAGGAAGGTGTTCTGTCCAAGAAAAGAGAGGAGGTGCTGGCTGCCGATGCCGCCGACGTGCTTGCTCAAGCTATTTGTGCAAAGCACGGTGCAAGATCAAGGAAAGAAGGCAGATCGCATGCAAACGCAGCTCGGGCGTCGGCTGGAAGATCGGCCGAACAGGCCGGTCGTCTTGCTGAGTTCCAATACCGGAGGTGGAAGCCGGAGGCGACTTCGACAGGCAGCCCTTGGGATTCTTGATCGGGACGCTGGATCGGACTGATCGGAGCAAGAAAGCTGAACCGCGGAAGGCAGTGTGGGGGGTGCTTGCAGGGGCGCGGAGCTGCATTCGACAGGGTTACCGGAGGCTGAAGTTTTTGCTTGATCTTGAATCAAGTTTCGGTTTGGGATTTTATCCCTGTTCTCTGGCATTTTTTCGGCTCCTGCTGTTTTCTTTAAGCTTCTTGTTTTTACTATTCAAGATTTGCTGAAGAAATAAGGTGGAGTTTTGGACTCCGGGTGGAGTCAGGGAGACACTGAGATGGTGTCGGCTGTTCTTGAGGAGCAGTGTTGAAAGTGCGTGGCGCTTTGAGGTGCGAGGTCGTACGGTGCACGAGGAGATCGCATAGGAGCGCGGGGCACCGGTGACGAGCGGAGCGCAGGTGAAGGGAGGAAACCAAGGAGGAAGATCTTGAGAGATCTTCTTGCAAGAGATAGAGAGGGAGAGGGAAGGGAGGAAAGCCAAACTGGGTGCAAGGCGCGGGCACGGGCTGAAAGCATTGGACGTTGGCTAGAGGCGCAGGGCGCGGGCACGAGGTGCAGGGTGCAGGTGGATGCACAGGGCGCGGAAGCCGGGCAAGGGGTGCTCGGGGATTGGCTGCGTTGGACGCAGTGCGACAGGTGAAGATCTTTCAGGAGGTGGAGCTAGAAACTTAAGAAGATGATTGATCAGTTTTTGAGAAACTTTTAACTGTCAGGGGACACTTTTGGCGGAGGAGATCGACAGGGTTGTTCTTTGGCTGTTCTTCATGAACAGTGGTTATCTTTTGTTTTGTAAAATTTGGACTAAGGGGGTGATTATTAGATATTATTCCAGATTTTTAGGTTTGCTTTTTGTATAGTTTTTTTGTATGGCATGTGTGGCCATTTGTGGAGCTATTTCTATAGCTTTTAGGTGCCTATTAATAGGCTTTAGTTTGTTTTAGGCATTGAGGCCAAGAGAGAAATAAAATTTATAGAATTTCTGAGTTTGGCTCTCTCCTCTCCCTCTCTATCTCTTGCAAGAAGATTTCTCAAGATCTTCCTCCTTGGTTTCAACAGTAAGCTATAAAGTTAATGGAATAAAAATGCTTCAATTGAGATGATTTAAACTAATGCAAAGAATGGATACTTATCACCAAAAGGTTTGGAAAAATACTTAACTTTTACTTGAATTTATGTACCTGAAGCGGATACGATTAACACATAAGAAACATCAAAGAGATGAAAGACCTGAAAAAAGATGCCAATATTTATATGATTTAACTAGAACAAACCTACTCCACGGGTGAGGAAAAACAGTTCTTCCATTAGTTGCTTATTCACATCATGAAAGTTGTTGAAACCAAGGAGGAAGATCTTGAGAGATCTTCTTGCAAGAGATAGAGAGGGAGAGGGAAGGGAGGAAAGCCAAACTCAGAAATTCTATAATTCTATTTCTCTTGGCCTCAATGCCTAAAACAAACTAAAGCCTATTAATAGGCCCCTAAAAGCTATACAAATAGCTCCACAAATGGCCACACGTGCCATACAAAAAACCTATACAAAAAGTAAACCTAAAAATCTGGAATAATATCTAACAATCACCCCCTTAGTCTAGATTTTACAAAACAAAAGATAACCACTGTTCATAAAGAACAACCAAAGAACAACCCTGTCGATCTCCTCCGCCAAAAGCGTCCACCGACAGTTAAAAGTTTCTCAAGAACTAATCAACCATCTTTTTGAGTTTCTAGCTCCACCTCCAGACAGATCTTCACCTGTCGCACTGCGTTCAACGCAACCAATCCCGAGCACCCCTTGCACTGCTTTCGCGCCCTATGCATCCACCTGCACCCTGCGTCTCGTGCCCACGCCCTGTGCCTCCAACCCGCGTCATACGCCTCAAGCCCGAGCCCGCGCCTTGCACCCATGTGGTCTGTCTCCAACCACATCCTGCACGTATCCACCCGTGCAGCGAGCCCTGCGCCTTCACCTGCGCTCCGCTTGTCACAAGACCACACTCCGCACTAACGCATCCATCCAGCACTCTGCGTGTCTTTCACCAGTGCCCCGCGCTCTTATGTGATCTCCTCGTGCACCGCACGACCTCGCACCTCCAAGCGCTCCACACTTTCAACACTGTTCCTCAAGAACAGCCGACACCACCTCAGTGTCTCCCTGACTCCACCCGGAATCCAAAACTCCACCTTATTTTTTCAGCAGATCTTCAACAGTAAAAACAAGAAGCTTAAAGAGAACAGTAGGAACAAAAAAAAATGCCAGAGAACAGGGATAAAATCCCAAACCGAAACTTGATTCAAGATCAAGCAAAAACTCCGGCCTCTGGTAACCCCGCCGGACGTCCCAAAACTCCACCGCAAATCTTCCGGCGACTGCGTCGGAGGATGCGGGCGCTACTCCTTACCCACTACCAGCAATTCCGGCTTCTCTTTGTCCGCAAAATGAGGCTTGCCTTTGATGGTCACCGCCTTGATTTTAGGAAAACGTCGTAACACCGTCAACGGAGAAACAGCGTAGCAGTTCCCAACTCCTTCCAAGCCACACATCACGTCCGCCTTCTTGTGGCAAGAGTCCGCCTAGCGTCCCGATCAAGCATGCCACGGGCTGCCTGCCGAAGTCACCTCCGGCTTCCGCCTCCGATATTAGAACTCAGCTAGACATCCGGCCTGTTCGGCCGATCTTCCAGCCGACGCCCCAGCTACTTTTGCACGTGATATACCTTCTTTCCTTGATCTTGCACCGTGCTTTGCACGATTCTCTTGAGCAAGCACGTCGGCGGCATCGGCAGCCACCACCTCCTCTCTTTTCTTGGACAGAACACCTTCCTCCTTCCTTGATCGGCACCAGGGCTCTGATACCAAATTGTTGAAACTAAGGAGGAAGATCTTGAGAGATCTTCTTGCAAGAGATAGAGAGGGAGAGGGAAGGGAGTAGAGCCAAACTCAGAAATTCTGTAATTCTATTTCTCTTGGTCTCAATGCCTAAAACAAACTAAAGCCTATTAATAGACACGTAAAAGCTATACAAATAGCTCCACAAATGGCCACATATACCATACAAAAAACCTATACAAAAAACAAACCTAAAAATCTGGAATAATATCTAACAAAAGTCTTATAGTTGAACATACCATAAAATCTTAAATGGAGACAAAGATTCATAATAATGGTTGATCATTAATATTGGAAGATGAACTTATAAATGGCCATATCATCTTACAAGTATCTTCTCAAGCATGTAATAGCTTCTGTATATGTGTGAGGATTCTGATAGAAATTTCGATTGGTGGTCTTTTCCAAATTGATTGTGAGTTTAGTTCCTCTTGAGGTTGTAGGTAAATTGTCAAACCGCTTTAAACTCTTGTATGTATGTTGTTTTGTCCTTCTTGAATTTCTTGAATTTTTGGAGCTTTTGCACAACAAATATTATCAGAGTCAAGTTGGTTCATTTATTCAAAATTTAGGTGGTCAAAATTAACTTTTGATCACACGGACTGGTTATGCTCGTCACTTAGAGTTGAATAATCCAAGCAATATGTCAAATAGATGACGAACACATTGCTAGGAGATAGTCGAAATCAGTTTAGTGTGAGTTTAATTAGTTGAAGCTTTCTGCAATTCGAAGACCATCAATCCAGTATACAAGTTGACCATATCAAACCTGCACCCATAAACATGACCTGATTTTGTTTTAGGTGACCGGTTATCCAATTTTATAGATCTTTGCAATATATGTTGCACCGATGCATCTATTTATGAAGGCGTGCTGTATCCAATTCGTCGATACACGGATACACCTCCGATACGGATCTGATACGTGTCAGATATGACTTTGTCGCATCCAATTAAAGTACTATTTAATTTCAAAAGTATACGCGTATTCAATACACGTGTCCATTGAAAAACAAAAAATCTGAAAAATAAAAAAAGTGTCTTATTTACTTTCGCGGCTGCGAGCGAGGTTCTTTCATTTCAGAGATGGATTTGATTCTCTTGATGACATGGGAATATTAGTAATTGCTAATATTTTACTTGATGAGCCTGCATTAGAAACTATGATATTTATTGAAGATGATATAGAAGTTCAAAGAAAAACCACTAAAGAAGCTAATCATATCATTCCTTCTATTGAATATTTGAAACTTCATGTGCTAGACAATTTATGTTTATGCTTTTGTTGTTGTACTAGACATTTAATGTTTACTTTTATTTTGATATTATAAGCTACAAATGATGTTGCTTTCATTTTTTTTTTGGTAATTTCAAATATTATGCTTTGATTGCTTTCTTAATTTTTATCTATGATTTATCAATTATAATGACGTGTTCGCGTCATACTCGTATCCTGTATTTTTAAGAATTGACGTGTCCCGTGTCCATATCGTGTCGTATCCATTTCGCCGTATCCGTATCAGTGCAACATAGTTTATAGTAGCTTCTATTTTTGAACTATGTTTCAACCTTTATTTAAGATGTTTAGGTACGCTCTACTCACGAATTTAATGATGAGAAGTCACCATATTCAATAACCTGTATCTTGGTGAGCTTCCTTCAAAAATGATGTTGCCTCCATTTTGCCTTTAGACCCTAAGAACTTGAGTGATGTCGATCAAGTTCAACCAGTATTAAAACTCAATCTTTCTTATCACTTCCATTAGCATATCTATCATATTATTTGAAGTCCCAACTTTTTGTAATATAATGTCCCTTTCTTTTACCATCTCTAATAAAATGATGTTGAATGTTGATATCTTTGGTGCTATAATTTCTTCGGGTTTTTGCCAAATACATGGCACTTTGTTGTTGCACAAAATCTCCGTATTTTTTTGAACCATTACAAAGCGCTTGATCAATTATGAAGCAAAATGGCTATTACAAGCTTGGGTCATGCTAGCAGGTTGTAACTCAGATTTGTTTAACCAATAGACTTGTTTGATGGCCATAAGTGATCAAAGATTTTTGGCGGAGTTAAAAAAAAAATGAAATTTTGTGCAACAGTTAGAATACAATTTGTTTAACAAAAAACTAAGCCCACATGATCGCACGAAGCATATTAGTGTTTAATATCACTTTATTAGAGAAATAGTCTAGGAAGAGGGTTTTCTACTCCCAAAGGTTGGACTTATATATAATCTTACAAATATGCTCATGAAAGTGATTACTGGGATCAAAGGTCTATTGCTACTTGAACTTGATCAACAATTCTAAAGTTTCTTGGGCCTAAGGGTGTGATGGAAGTAGCATTATTTTTAGAGGAAGCTCATCATAGTGGAAATTATTGAAAATGATAGTTCACTTCACACCATAAAAGACTTAAATGGAGATTATTGTATAGTTTTAAATATAGACTATTACATGTTTCAAATGAAGGCTATTATATAGTCGTACAAGGAGGTATCATGAAAGTTCATAAGGTTAGGTGTCAGATCAACTTGAATAAGATTGTTTCATGTTAATGAGTTGTGGGTCGGATCTAGCAACTTACAAACTTGTTTCATGACCTCATTCTTCTTTAATTCTTCTTTATTTGAGTTGCAGAAGATTTAATTAGTTTCTTGTTTTAACCATGTCCTTGTAATGTTTTTATTATTTTTTTGACTCGTCGTTTGGCTTGTTGGACTCTAGGTGATGAGGACAATGTCTTAGTGTGATTAGAAGTTGATTTTGACTATTTGAATTTTAAATTATTGAACCAACTTTGCTTTGATACCAATTTATTATATAGAAGATCAAAAAGTCAAGAAGGAAAAAATAACATGCACACATGATACATGAGTTTAATGTGTTTCAATAAGTTGCTCGTGGGATTATATGCGAATAAGGATTATATGGACTTTTATAGAGAAGAGTATATCTCCCAATATTAATGATCATTCATCATTGTAGATTTTCGTGGTAGCATCCTTTTAGAACTTTATCGTAGTCTCCTTGTAAGTATTTCATGATGTGAATTGAGCTGCCTTTTTCAACAATAAGCACATTGATGAAGTTGCGGATTTAAAAGTGCTCATAATTTAGTATTTTAAGTGATGCCCAACCTTTTGGAATAATTGTTTTACATATTGAATTCTGCATCAAGCAGATCATGTGTTTATCTATTTCTTGTTGAGCTCCATCCCAAGAATCTTTTTGGCCTTTGGTCCATCTAAAACTCTCTGCTTTGTTGAGCCTTCAAATTATCAATCTTCACCTTACTCTTAGATTATTTTTCTTACACATTTGTATTTGTTCGTTGGCTGCTTATATTAAACATTCAACTTTATCAATAAACGAATTCCATTTTGTAATTATATATATATATATATTAGCTGTCTTTTCAAGTTTATGTATAGTTGTTTTCTCATATAAACCTACTTAATGATTTTACATTTGCAGTTGAAATAGGTGATGGATCGTCGCAGTTGGCCTTGGAAAAAGAAATCTGAAAAGGCAGTAGTTTTGACTGATTCTGCCAGTGCATCCTTGCCTAATTCCAGTGAACTTCAAACAGAAAAGGTTGAGTAGGAAATTCGAAGGGAAGGAAAAAGCATTTCTGTTGTCTGATCATAAAACCAACTATTTTTTATTGTTTCACTTTTTTTTTTTTGTTGCTTTGAGTATAATTTCATTTATATTAATTAAATTATTGTATGTGAAAGAACAGACCATATAGTATACCATGCACATGGAATTTTCAATCTACAGTTGTTAAAATGATGCTTGCTTTGCGCATGTGAACTTAGAGATTTATCTTAAGCATGAATAGGCTGCAAATGATGCTCCACCTATCAAGGTTCAACTCAACTTCCAAGCTTGCTTAAATAAAACATAATATTTTAATTGTTGCTTCCAATGAATGTTAAAACTTGCATTAGTGATCTTTCTTTATTAGATCTAAATGAGAATTTGATATTTAACATACATAATGGAGAAAAAATATTCATGTAGCTGGCCCCACATAGTGGGACAAAGGCTTGATGTTGTTGTTGTTGTTACAGAACTTAAATACGTCAAATGATCTGACATAAGGCTCATGCTTTTGAATATAAAATGATTGATGATAAACACCCATTCCGATCAACCTATCAAATAATTTGGCCCATCTTATCCATTTATCAAACTAGTTAACCAGTCTTCTTGATGATCTACGGCAGAAATATCAAGGATCTCATCTTCTCTATTTATCAAACTAGTTAAGCAGTCCCCTGGAAGATCTATGGCAGAAATCTCAAGCATGGATGGATTCTCAACAATTATGTGGATTGTCTGTTTTTTATTCCATTTATTTTCTCCAAAATGAGATCTGTCTTTCCCCACAAAAAACGATATTCTACCGGCTAATGCAACATTGTGATCAATTTTTAATACTCATTTTAAGAATTAATTGAATCATTTTTTTGGCACGGTACTTGTGTCAAACTTAATTATCTCATTGGATCAATATGGTTTTTTGTTTCTAGGATGATGCAAAGAATGAGAAGTATATACAAATTAAGATGGAATCATACACCCATCTTACCGGATTGGAAAATCAAGTGAAGTCATTGACTGAGAAATTGTTATTAGCTGAATCAGAGATAGCTACAAAGGGTAATCTAGTAAAGCAACATGCAAAAGTTGCAGAAGAAGCAGTCTCAGGTATCTTAATCTTCCCCATGAAACTGAGTTCCTTAGAAGTAGTTTCTGTACATATGAGGTTGACAACCAAAGAAATATTATCAATGCCATTCTTCATACTTTGGAAAAATTTTCATTTAAGCATGGCTCAAACATAAATTTGCCATGCTGAAATGAGCAGGCCAAATAGTCCTTGCACTAGCCTGAGAACCTACGCGACCCAATCACTAAAAAATTGGGCTTTGGGCCATTGCATTAATCCTTTAAGTGTTTAATTTGGGCTTATTTGGATTTGGATTGAATCACCTTTTGTGTTGTTAGATTTGTTTCATCAAGATGCTCAAGTTGACTATAAATTTATTAAAGGTTGGTATTTGAATGATTTTAAAAATCTATAAATATTACATGAAAATTTATGCAGATCAAAGTGAATTTTCTCAAGACATATCAGTCTTAGATCTAGTATATTCGATCCTTCATTTGATAAAATAGGACTATTCTAGGACATCCCTCCTAAATATCGACTCATAATGAACAGACTACATTGAGTGGTGAGTTAATGCTAATTAATTTTCTGAAATTCTCTTATTATTCTTGTTTTAGGATGGGAAAAGGCTGAAGCTGATGCTTTGGCTCTGAAACAGCATCTTGAATCTGTCACATCGCTGAAGCTTTCTGCTGAAGAAAGAGCACTCCATCTTGATAACGCTCTAAAGGAATGCATGAAACAGGTAAGGATTGTGAAGGAAGAGAGTGAACAGAAGTTACGTGATGTTATCTTCACCAGGACAAAACAGTGGGAAAAGGCCAAGGCTGAGCTCGAGTCGAGAATCACTGTTTTTGGGCAAGAGCTACAGAAGGCCTCTGCTGAAAATTCAGTTCTTTCAAGATCACTTCAAGAACGATCTAATTTGCTAATAAAAGTTAGCGAAGAGAAATCTCAGGCAGATTCTCAGATTGAAGTACTGAAGAATGATTTACACTCCTGTGAAAGAGAATTAAGTTCGATGAAATATGAACTTCATGTTATCTCCAAAGAGCTGGAGATTCGCAACGAAGAAAAGAATATGAGTATGAGATCCGCAGAAGTTGCAAACAAACAGCACCTGGAAGACGTCAAAAAGATTACAAAGCTGGACGCTGAATGTCAACGGTTACGTGGTCTAGTTCGAAAGAAGCTGCCTGGAGCCGCTGCATTAGCCCAAATGAAACTCGAAGTTGAAAATTCAGGCCGAGAATCTGGGCAAAGCAGACTCCGGAATTCTTCTGCACATATTTCTAGTCTACATCATATATCGCCTTCAGACGTTTCCCTTGAAAGCATTCAGCACGCTCACAAAGAAAATGAGTTCCTTACTGCTAGATTATCGGTTATGGAGGAAGAGATGAAGTTGCTTAAGGAAGCATTATCAAAGCGCAACGATGAACTACAGGCTTCAAGAGACTTGTGCGCTAAACAAGCAAACAGGCTTCGCAGCACGGAAGCACATGTACTAGCTCTAAGCCAACAGAAGAACTCCTCAATAGAAAACATTGAAAGTAACCCACCTAGCTTGACCTTCTTATCTGAAGATGGCATTGGTAAAGAAGTTAGTTTTTCAGAGTCTTGTCCTACTGCACTATATTCAGAGGTTTCACACTCTAAGCAAGAGAAAAACTTTGACACAGTTAACACACCCGAGAACTCGAATTATTTGGAGCTTATGGATGACTTTTTGGAGATGGAGAAATTAGCATGTTTATCAACAGAGACAAATGGCAAAATCAGTATGTCTAACCATTCAGAAGCTGATAAAGTGGATCCAACTCCTTTGAGGCATTCTAACATACTGAAATGCGCAGATTCTGAATTATTAGATTTGACCCTGGAACATGCTTCAACTAAAAAAGATCTTCCATTGTTGATACTTAAATCAAGAATAAATTCCATATTTGAGTCTCAAGCATACGGGAGTACGGCCAAAAAAATTATTGAGGATGTAAGGCATATTATTAAGGATGCTCAGGAAGAATTGCTCAAAGAGCAAAGTGAATCCATTGATGACTTGGCTGAGCAAAAGTATTGTCATAAATACATTCAAGAAATTAATGGTGATGGAACGTCTTTGAACAATCAATGTGCTAAAGTTGTTTGCCTTTTTGACCAGGAACTCAAGGATGCCATTTCCCAAATTTATGAATTTGTTCTATCACTGGGTAAAGCTGAAGCAGAAATTCAAGATAGTTCTAATGATTTTCTAAGGGTAGGCAAGAAATTTGAGGAGTCTTTTGCTTCTATAGACAATGTCATGTGTAACGAAGTAAATTTGCATGACTTCATTTCATCTCTCTCCCGCATATTGTGTGAAACCATTGATCTCGGATATAAAATGCGGACTGTAAAAGGCAGTGAAAGGGAGAGTTATGGTTCTGATTGCGTTGGCAAAGATACCTTGTTAAGGAATGAAGTAACTCGGCATGAAGAAAGTCTATCAGGAGCATCTTCGTTAGTTGCTCACACTTCCTTCAGTCCTCAATTTGAAGGGTCCACTAATGCTGGCTTCCAAATAAAATCCACTTTGCCGATGTTGTCTCTAGAGAATTTTGATCATCTGAAAATTGAGAAAGAGAATATAGAGATGGATTTAGTTAGATGCAAAGAAATGCTGAACCAGACAAATTTGGCTTTAATTGAAACTCAACAACAATTAACAGAGATGAAATCAGAGCTAGCTTCGTGTCAAAAGTTAAACAGCTTGGCTTCAACTCAGTTGAAATGTATGGTTGAGTCATATAAGATTTTGGAATCTCAAAAGGAGGAGCTGGAGGCTGAAATAAGCCGTCTGCATGCAGAGGTTGAAACCTTGGATAATGAGCTTCAAGAGGAAAGGCATAGTCACCAAGAATATGTTACCAAATACAATGAACTTCAAGAGCAGATAGACAGGTTGGTTCAAGCTTTCGTTCATTTTCTGAAGTTATTTTGGGAAAATGACGAAGTTTCTTTTTTATGTCCATCGCTTTTTTCTGATTTAATCTTTCGTAAATTCTTTTGCATCCCGCTCATAATATTTCTTTGACCCAGTTCTGTTTTGTATTCTTATGAAGGAACTTGAAGTTTTCAGCTTGCACATTTCCTTCAAATGCTGATGTAACAAAGACCAAACAGGTAAGAGCAATTCCAAATTGAGTTTTGAGAGGGGTAATACAATTCTCTTTCATATTATTCCATAATCTAAATTATTTTGCCCATTTTAATAGGCTTCCTTTTCTGCTCACGATCGTCATAATCCTCAATATTGAGTCATGCCTATTGACTATAGCTGTTATGCTCATTTGATCTATGTTAGGTAACTTATCAAGCAAAGGCTCTTATATAATAGTTTAAAACCTTTGCATATTAGAACTCCTTGGATGCTTGTTTCCTCACCCAATGTCGGCCGTGGAGGCGCTAAAAGACATCTCCTTTGAGTAGTCTAGATTGAGCCTAGCCGCCTAGGTATAGTTGCCAACCACCACGACCACGCATTTTGCTTCTACTCCTTCCATCTCCTCCATGCTTCTTTAGGTGGTCGTCCCTTCAAAGACTCGGTGTAATGTTTATAGTGGCTTCCCATTTTAGCTTTATCTCTTTTTAGAGCACTCTCAATACATCATTGCTCCTTATTTGGTGAGCTCCCTAGGTAAGCAACATCAAGGTGCCATCTCTATTATTTGATTGCACATTGCTTGTGTAATTGTTCAAACTCTTCATTATTGAGATATTGTTTGCTTTGGCCAAATAGCCTCACGATTTTGTCCTCTTGATGTAACTTCCCAGGAGGTCACATACCCCAGGAGTGCTCTGATACAAGCATGGTTTAAAATTGCGCAACAAGAGGCGGGCCTCAGCTCAATTCAGGCCTTTTGCACATCAAGGCTAACGCCTTGAACTTGAAACGCGAGGCATATGCCTCAAATAAATGAAGGCGCGCCTCGACTCACTTCTACTAGGCGTTCGCCTCATAAAAAGGTATTATATAAAAAAAAATCTAAACCTACTATGTATTCTTATTTCCTTCGTATTCGACTTCGCCTGGCCACTTCGAACGTCAGCTCGTCGACTTCGCCTGCGTGCAATTGATTTCGCCCGTCAACTTCACCTGCATTCGTGACTTCATGTTTTGCGACTTGCCTACAGTTTGACCGCCTTCCTCTTTTTCGCGTTCCTCCTATTGGACTTCACCTATGCACTACAGTTTAGGTTTAGGATGTGTTATTAAGGCTTCATTTCCTTCTTCGATGACATTCTAAAACCTTCATTGTCTTCTTCTTAGAACGTTTGTAGGTGGAGAGTCCGGATTGGAAGTTCGAAAGGTTTAGGGCTTTCTTGCGGCAGTTTCTCCCATTTATCTATATGTATCTTATGTTTTCCTCATATTTTATGCATGATCAAATATACTAAATCATTTTCATGCAAGATGTGAAGCACGAGTGAGAGATATTATGCCTTTTATCTTTTCTTAGAGATGATGCATGTATCCTTGAAAACTAAAAACATTATGTTGATCATTTAATTGGGCACAAATTATCCATTTAATGTTTATAGTCTGTTTGTAATTCTATGTTTCCTTATTCTTAATGCAAATTTCTCATTTCAAGTAAATAAGCATTCATTTTCCTCTTTGACAACCTAGTCATTTTCTATTTTACTTTGATGATGATGAGTTCATGTAATCTTGAAGAAGTTTTGGGTTCATATGAAGCACAACAACAACAACATCAAGCCTTTATCCCATTACGTGGGTTCGGCTACATGAATCCTTTTTCTCCATTGTGTCCTATTAAAAGTCAAATTCTCGTTTAAATCTAATAAAGAAAGGTCATTCCTAATATTTTCTAACCAAGTCTTTTTAGGTATGCCTCTACCTTTCTTAACACAAGTCAAATCTAATACCTCTACTCTCCTAACCGAGTCATCGGGAGGCTGCCGTTTTATGTGACCAAACCATCCAAGGCGACTCTCTCTAATCTTATCTTCTA